TCGTAACTCTATCCAAAGTTCATATAAAACACATATTATTGTTCCCAATTTCGTAATTCATAAATTCGTATCAGTTTAGTACCATCTGGTAAAATATTATCTACCAAAAAGAACTTTGAAACTGCTCTAGCATAACACTTTTCTAGTAAAAATATAAAATAAGTGTTATATTTTATTGTTTTATCACTAATTTGTAAGTTATGTTTTTCTTTGCCGATTTAGGTTCCTGCCCAAAATGTATTTTTTGATTGCTTTTGTCTGATTTTTAAAACACTAATGTGTGCAGAAAATCGAAAAATATATTTTTAAACATAAAATAGCTTTATAAACAAGCAACATAAGTATAATAATTTATTAAAAGACTTCTTTGTGTGTTAGTGGTTCCATTTACCACCGTGCAAGTTTAACATAAATCATAATGCCACAAAAAAACAAATTTATGAGAAGAAAACACACCATTTTTATTTTTTACACAATATTAAAATGAAAAAAATACATAAAGAAATAGATATATTATTAAGTAAAACAACATTACGTTTTAAAAATCAGAGATAATTGCATAATATGAATATACTAAATATTGAGTTTAAATTGCATGAAGACCATCAGTTGTAGGTTTGTGGGAGGGGGAAGGGGATGCGTGGGAGCTGAAACACCCTCCATTCCATATATTGAACTTTTATTTTATTATAAATTAATTATGTATCATAAAAAACCAAAAGTATTAGTTATAGATTACTACCAAAAATAATTTAAATTTTGTTTTGACCCAAAAGTTGTTCATAATAAGCACCTAAGGAACTTTATTATCAATAAAACCCACCATAAAAAAACCAACATCCGTCACTGAAGACTAGTAATATACTTATTAGCTTAAGGCTTAACTACGGGTGATAATTTTTAATCTTATTCCGAGAACATCGAGGTGAAAGTAGTATGATTAAATTGCTGTAATTATGAAGGCATTTGTTAAGGTAAGTAAGTAACGTAAAGTGTTTAAGTGTGCCCTGTTTGGCTATTGTATATTGGCTAATATAACTGCTATTTAGTTCTTAGTCACTAAAGTCTTTAATAAAAAACCAAAAATCATACATTTCCATCAAAATATAATAATCAAAATTTAAAAATGCCTCCAAGTTTTTACATTTTATATTCAGTGTAGGTTAACTTGAACGCGACATGCATTCTACACACAACTGCCCTTAAATTGCCTATCTTGTGCGCCGGGGGCCGCACAGATTTTTTACGAGAAGGTGATATTATTTTACTGATATGTTACACAATTCGGTAAACTTTCTTTCGACAAAACACTGAAATTATAATATAAGATGTATAATATATCTCAGATTTATAACTATTGACTTGATATTGGTCGCTAAATTCTTAAATATATGATTTATAAAAATACACACAATAATATTATTTAACAAGATACAATTTAATTATCAAATACGTATTGTGCACTCTTATATTATTGTTATTATTCATGATAATTGACCAAGTATTTATTTTATATTAACTTAAATCTTATAAATGTATTATGCAAGCCATAAGGTACATACTTCGGTCAGAAGATCGACAAATCAAAAAAATAACTAATCTTTTAGTAATTTATTTTATTTAAATGAATATACAAAATTTTTTTTTTACCTGTTATCAAATGACTTACTGCTGCTGTTAGTGCTGTATACTTTAAAGGTGTAAGTGAGCAAAGCTGGGCAATAAAGAGTTAAGAATTGAAATTAAATCAAAAAGCTAAGTTTATGTAATCATGTAACTCAATGTAAGTTAAGTTAGTTAACTCACCATTTAATTTAATAGGTTACTCTTGCAACATATTTATTGTGTTAACATCAAGTTAATATTTTATACAGATTAAGTTAGAGAATACATTTTTATATCAACCATTCATTTAAATTGTAGTTTAAGGCATATTTTTCATTTTATTTTCTATCGTAATACTGTTGTCCGCTGGATATAAAAATTATAGAGATGTCCAAGAATATACAGGAAATTCCTAAAATAGAGAAATGGGTATCATTATTAATCGTCAATTTGAATTTGACATAATAATTAATGTGCATCATACATATTTTATACATATCGGTGGGCTTCATTCTCGTAATAGAAAGTTGATATTAAATTAAATATTATTTTTTAATGAAATTTTCAAATATTCAAATAATTAAATATAATGCTTGGAACCTGCGTAATACTAGATTAAAAACTATAGACCATATGATTGTGTGTACATATTATTACACGTTCGTTACCTTATCAGTTTTCTTGCAAATTATTAGGTAGTGACACCACAGAATATAGGTAACAAATAACAATGGTGTAAGTTTAGAAAATCGGGATCTAAAATACAAAAGAAAAATGTCAGTTGATTACCACGATTTAGACTGTCTTAGTCCAACACAGTACAAAATATATTTACATAATATTATATTCACATTTATTAGGGTCGCATTGGACTCAAATATTTTTTTAATGGGAGTCGAATGAAACCTGCAGTATTCATCTTTGAAACGATGAATAGAAAGTCAAAAATCCAAATAGTCTACAAGACTTCGAGGCATGATCGTTTTTCTGTAAGGCCCAAGTGTTTCCACTAAAAGACGTCGGCTCCAACCCCGTAACGGTTATAATATTCTAACACTCACGTTTTAATTAAATTTTTTCAGCGTTTACAAATTGATTTTTACTTATGATTGTTTACGGATGTAAAGCATGTAGCGAATGTAAGCACCTGACTTTGGTCTCCCTCTATTACTATTTAGCTACATAATAACAATAACCTAATTGATGAGCATTAATTTTTTTGGTAACCCAAAAATATATGTACTAAGTAGGTGGTTCTTGTCTTATTTAAGATGTAATAAATCAATTTCTCAACCTTGAGGTAGTTAGATATAGCTGTATGTGGATTTTCTAGCGTTATAGGTAACCACACATTTATAAATATATTCTATACAAAAAATATATATCTTAAATTTTTAATTATTTGCTCCAAAAATATCTCCAAAACTACCTATCCAACTTTTTTTTTTAATAAAATGCAAATTTAAATTTAAAAAAAAAATACCTATCCAACAATAATGTTTATATAACTGCCTTATATTACCTGTATTATTATTTTTTTGAAATGGAATACTTTTATGGTAAGTCGATACGATATTATTTTTAATATGTTATAATTTTTTTTTTTAAATATTGCGTCCACATAACTAACATAGTACTATACTAGTGAAAAATAATACACCTAAACAGACAATTACAAATAAACAAATACTTAAGTAGGTAAATAATCGTTATTTTTAACATTGACCCTAGAATAAAATATATGTTGCATTAGCAGAACTTGAATTTATTAATTATTATTAATTAGTTTTGTATTCTGCTAAACAATACGTCATGACTAAAAAAAAGGATCTAACAAACAAAGCGACCAACCGTTTTTATTTGTAATTCCTAATTCCTATCAAGACATTTAGATTTATAGATCATGAACAATGAATAAATTAATAATTATTGAATAGAATCAATTTTAACTTAATTTGACAGAAGTTACACTTAGTGTGAAAGTGAAATATTCAACTAATTACCTTAATTATTATTTCTCAAACACAATAAAATTTACAAAATATTTTGAAGAGTTTTTAGCTATTTTGTCTACAAACGTTCATGTGCAATAACATATTCTATGTTTGGTCAAAAATCTTAAAATTGTAATATTATAAAATTGTAACATTATAAAATTAAAAATTATATTCCTCATACAATAAATTTATGGCAATTTAAAATGCCTGAAAATAGATTCACACATTTTTTTAAATAAGAGTTTGACAAAACCTATTTTGTAGTTAAAACTAATGATTTCAATACTTCAATTTCAAAAGTACAATTTTTCTTCTAACAATGTTGTAATTTGAAAAATATTAATTGTATGAACTTGAAACTTATTGTCATCATTATTTTCTATACACATACAATTTGTAAAATATTTGAACTACATATAATTGTATACTATTTATACCATGAACATATTTAAGCTGTTCTACTGTAATACAGTAATCAGTATTGACTTAAAGTTAATAACAACAATGTATTATAATATACTTAATATTACATACAATGTTTTTAGCAATAAATTGTTTTATCAATGATTGTACTAAGATAATATTATACTATTTTACTATAATATAAATAGTAGAAAGAATAAGTATAAGAATCATTTCGATTTATCATATTTTAGTTAAAATGTAACATGCCCATTACAGTTACCTGATCAATGATGAGATACATTCTAAACCTACTATACAGCAAAGCGACTTCTACAGTCTGAATTTTCATGTCCTACAACAATTCAATGATACAATATCTTTGTCTTAAATAGATGTTGAATGTTATAATGTACTTTACTTAAACAGGTGGCACTTGTTGCAGATGTGTAACTACTTGTATATTACTGTAAGAGTGATTAATGATTATACTGTAATGGCAGTGATTGGCCAGTATGAATATACAACATTTTTGACTAAAACATGATTTGATTTTTATGTTTCTACCAAACTGTTCAAAAATTATACCAGTGTCCAACAAGTTATTCATCTGGTGTGTATGCAAATAGAGCAAAGCCATAAATAATGAAAACATTAAAAATACAAAATAATTTTCAAAAACAAATAACACTTTTAATCGTTCAAACCGATTAGATTTACAACACAATGATATATTGAACAATGTATCATAATTGAGGAAACTGCAATAAGTGTGGTTAAATTTTGTTAATTTCTGTCTGATTTTAAAACAATTATTTTATAGGTACACCGGTTGTATTAACACAATCAACATTATTATTTCAAAATTATTATTATGATAATACCACGTTTTTACAACGTGTGAGCACAATAGTAATATACATTTGAGTACAAATAATAGTAATAATAAAACAATGATCAGAAATTATCAAAATTATATAATTTAAAATAGTAAAATTTAAACTTTGTGAAAATGTTTTATTACAAGCAACTGCAAAACATTAAAAAAAGTAATGCACCAAAACAAATATGTCTGCTTTACTAGTATTGAATAACATGAAAAAATGTATTATATTTAATCTTTTTTTTTTTAATATCAAACAATTCATTTCTTTCTTTTATCATACGTATTGTATTTAATGTGTGAATGACTAGTTGCGCACATAGTAGTTATGTAATAATACAAAATTGATTAGATGCCTAACTATAGTTATTATTGTTTATAAATAAAACAAACATCTATTAATTATAACAATTCAAGATGACAAAAAAAATATAATAAAATAATAATAATGTATATTATAAGTAAATAACAACAATGATTATTTCAAGTCGTATAGTCCATTTTGAGCACAACAAACAGAAAATAATAATAATAATAATAACACAAGAAAAAGATATAATAAAATTGTCAAAAAAAAAATAATCTTAAATTGTTTTAATACAATTGACCAAATCATCTTTTAATTTTCAGTGCGACAAAGCGGCTTTCAAACCATTTAAAAATAAAAAAACAATAAATAAATAATAATACAAGATAATGCTTACGTATTACAATATAATATGCGGTGCGTAAATAATGATGTGACTGGATGTTTCACAGGTTAATTTATCTGAGAGAGATCAATGGTGTTGTTTATAACAATGACAAAAAAAAATTAATATAAATATATATGACGATGAAATGAATATCGTTTCCAAATTGACGAGGTTTATATAGGGAGCCTTAATTGTCCCATAGCAAAGATCATTGGACGAAAACGATTGAAATACTTGCGGCGTGCAATGAAAGCACAACAGTTCAGATATCATAATATATTTCACTTTTTTATTAACTAAATATATTCAAAACATATATACTTGATAACAGATGTCAACACTAATGTCATTGTGCACCTCTATGACTTTATAGGAACATTGTTTTGTGACTTAATCGTTCATTACACGATGGACTGTCGAATACTCGAATACATTGCTGTTTCATGACACAATGATACGTGGAGAGATAAAAAATATAAGAATTCTTGATAACAAGCTACATAAGGATCAACATAATCCAAACACCAAAATATATAATTAACAATATTAGTTTCACGGTTTGGTAATGTACGTCATCACATGAGGAGAGCAACACTTAACATTAAACATTATATAATATATAAATTAATATATATTAATGTTGTAAAAAAATTGAATTGTTATATAATTTGGATGTGTGTATAATAAATATATAAAACTTTGTTGGTCGGACAAATAGATAACAACATCGACAGAGACCTTTGACGACAGTAGATCTGTAATATGACTATTAGGGGCAATGCATGTTCCGTACGATGAATGGAAAGCAGCAGCACCACAACAGAAACGTATAAGGTGTTCAGTCAAATTAAGCTTTTTCATAAAACAAAAAAAGCATTAAGCTCGTGAATACTCTGTAAAAATAAAATAAAAATTTGGATTATAAATGTGTACTATTGTATTATTAGTTTTATTTGACTTACTAAATAGAACATAATCTTAGATTTACACACTTTGGGCGTTATCTATTGTCTTCCATCACCACCTGTTTAAACAGACTGTTAGACATGTGACACTTGACGTCCTGACTGCCGAGTGTGGTTGTACCATCTTTGGCAATGAACAACTGTAGCCCCGATCCTATGAAACCAAAAAAATAAACATATGAGATACAATATTATTATTAATTAATTTAATTTGAATTTGAATTTGAATTTCATAAATGTATACCGGCCCCACTGAGGGAACTCAAGTAGATTTAAAGTTATGAATCAGCAACAGCTAGTAATTTAATATGTACAAATAAGACTTTCTTTGAGCTTAATAGCATATACAAAATTAATATTATAGAAAGTACAATACTGAATACACCTTAAGATATTTCGGATTTGTATGGTTTTATAAGTAAAACACTTATAGTTATTGTTTTTGATAATATAAGTTTATGTTTACAATTTCAAATTTAATATTAATATTTTGTGTTGAGTATTTTAATGTACGTATTAACAATATATTGAAGTTATATATTCATAAATTTGATAGTTTTTTTTTCCATTAGTTGTTAATTTATTCGTATATTTTTTAAGTTGTATAAATTATAGCAAATAGCTAAATGTCATTCAATACTACAAAAACCAAATAAAAATAATGATAAGTTGCATAAAATAAATGTAATCTGAAAGCAATGGATATCGTTAAGTATTTATATAAAAAAATGTCTTTAACATCAAAATATTCAATAAAAAGAAAACAAATTAAGTATAGTACAATGCTCATTTTTCAATTTTCAATTTATTTTTAAATGTGAGTCTGAAGCACTGAATCTGTAAGTGTGAAGAAAATGCCACTCTTTGTTACATTTGAAACAATAGTAAATGAAAAAATGTATTTCTTCAAAATTGAAAAAATTTCTAGAACAGACTTTTTTAGTATGGTTTTTTAGACTTAATTTTATTGAATTATCAGATATAACCACCGTACTTACAATAGTTTTTTTTTTAATAAGCAATATGTTTTTTAAAATTATTTATCATGTGATAACCTCGCGTAAGTAAAAAGAAAAAATGATATAGTAATATTTTTAGTAGGTATTTAAAATTTAAAGTAACTTGTATTTCCAGAGTAAGTGCCTTTCGAAATTCTGCTGATGAGTAACGACGACAATAACAACAAAAACGACGGCGATGACAATAACGGAATATAATTAATATATAAACATTTAACTTACTGTGCTTGCTGTCCTCGTCAGCCGAATGGTCATCCAGATTGGTGGCCCTGAGCAGCTGGTCAATGAGACTATCCGGGTTGACCCTGGTCACCTCCACGCGCCCGGTGACCTTAGCGCAGCTATCGTCGGTGACACTGCCACCCGTCGCGGCCGACTTCTTGTTACGCCGCTCTAGGGCAGCTTTGCCGCGATCCAACGAACCGGTCTCGACACCGCTGAGCACGGGCGATGCTTGGGACGCAGATATGGCCGTGCCGCTAGCAGTTAGGCTGAAAGGGACACGCGGAGACAAAACGATCAGAAATACATATCACGAAGAACGAACAGTGTATGTAAAACAGAACATCGTAATAATTTACCTAACGGTATAAATATATATATGAGGCATGCAAGCATATTTTATATATCATGTTACATATATAAAATATATCATATTATATATAACATGATTCATGTATAATATATACAGAGGGTTTCAAATTTTGTATGCTTTAACAATAATAACATTGATGGAAAGTTTCGATAAAAAAATTTAAAAAAAAATTTTTACTCATTATATTTTACTATTTTATTAGACAGGTTCATTTTTACACGTCTGTACTAAAAATGTACGAGTTTAGATTTTATTTAAAATTATTGAATTTAGGAAATTTTCTGAAAGTAAATTTTTTCAAATGTAATTAATCCTCACTGTCTCACTTGTACAGATATAAGACAAAAGACCGCACTCTAGGAAGAGAGCTTGGCCGCAAATGAACACAATCCATACCAGTTTTTGACGCACACAATTTAGAACACTCCGTATATAATAAATATGTATATATTTGGCGCAATACATGGGGTGCAAAGCGATACATAATATAATATTCCTACTTATATTAAGTATTATAACATGATAATATGAAGTGATATGAGTGTAATGCGTCAGCTAGGGGTGCTGAAAAGCGAGACACGCGTGAATAAAGATCGTTAAATGTCACCATATTATTATTATGCCCAATATGAGAAACTTGATGCAGCTGAAATATATCACATTATTATACTCTTAAGATATTAAACTGAAATTTAATTATTGCGTCGAGAAGCGAGAGAAACAATATATTATTAGTATTATTATTAACAGCGGCGAACAGAGGAACGGCACCATCATGAATTATAAATGTTACGACTTTATGAGTTTTATTTTATTTTTAGTAAATTTACGACTGCGTAAAATGATTAAAATCGATAATTTTCGAAAAACTTTGCCCCGTAAATATGCAGCAGCGCAGGAGACGAAGGGAATACATAATACTATTATAGTATCATTAATAATTTTCGAAAAACACTGCATTCTGTAAGTATGAGTATAAAACGTAAAAGCAAAATAATATTAATAATAATTCATGCAATAAAAAACAATAAGCGCTTTGAGGATGATTAATTCCATGCAACATGAATGTTAAGCACTAAAACATTTTCAAGTCTATTATGTAAGCATCATATATTCACACATTTTCTGAGACCTCTGTAGTAAATACTCCGTAACGGTTATGTAAACAAAATGTTAAAAAAAAACTTACAGAAAAATAAACAGTTTTTTTATAGTCCATTAATCGTGTCGATGTCCATATCCAACGGATTAACTCAAATTTTAAGAAATCAGGTAAAAGTAAAAAATTAAACTAAATTAAATATTCACAGTTTCGATAAGTTTATCTAAATCCCGATTAAATTTTTTGCACTTTACAAATGAATTGTTTTTAATAATGCCGATAAGAAGATAACATATTAACATAGGTATTTCTCGGAGTCATTATAATATTATACTGCATATTATATTCTCGTCGACTAAACTCATATTATAAAAAAAATGTTAACAAAAACAGTAATTAAGTCACCACATATTTATATGTACATTGTACATACGACATAATATATACATGATGATCTAATTACACGGCTACACCAAAATTTCGAAGTCAATTGCTGTGATTTTAAAACACAATATTTCCATACAGTTTTAATAACAACCTATATTTTTTGCTTCACAATTAGAATCAGAATACTTTTCTAACAAATGTCATGTATGAATATTGAATAAATGGTTTTTTAAGTTTTTTTTTAATTTTAATATGCATTTAAAATGTTGATTAATGCAGTAAAATGATAAGGGCCGAAATATATCCAAAACGAATTATTTAAGAGGATGTGATACCCGCATGTGTTGTCTCCGTCTTACAAGTGCATAACATGGCAAATTTTACGCTCAGCAGAACACGTGTAGCTCCGTTGGTTTAAAAATTAGTGCGAATTGACCTCTGATAAAATCTAAAGGTAAGATTATTATCTAGTCAACCTCATAGGTTTTTTATTATATTTTAATTTTAACGCGAGTTATGAGTATTTTAAGATGTATAAAAAATTTACAATTTTAAAATACTCATAACTCGCGTTAAAATTAAAATATAATAAAAAACCTATGAGGTTGACAAGATAATAATCTTACCTTTAGATTTTATCAGAGGTCAATTCGCACTAATTTTTAAACTAACGGAGCTACACGTGTTCTGCTGAGCGTAAAATTTGCTATGGTACGCACTTGTAAGACGGAGACAACACATGCGGGTATCACGTCCTCTTAATATTTCAATTTGATAAAGGTACATCAAAAGTCATAGAAAACTATTCTGCACCAGATTCTACAATTAAAAATAAGTTATCATTAAAAACAAAAAATAGCCTTCACAACTAATTAAAATAGAAAAAAATTTAACTTTTTTTTATTAAAATGGAGTATTATAAATACTTCATTACATACAAAATATAATTTTCAAAATCACAATAAGCTACTTAGAAAATATGTATATAATACGAATATACATATAACTGAAGCCACGCTATAAGTAAATATTATTGTACATATAGGTACTGTGTATTATTTCGAATCATCGAAAAGATGGAAAACAAAAGAATATCCATGCAATATTATCATATCGAAACGAAGAAAAGTCGAACGTTTAAACTCAGTAGCGACACAAGCTGTAAAAACGACACAAACGAGTGCAAGTATATAATATGACGTATAGACACATCTCATGCATGCGAGCACACACACGAGCACACACACAAACGCCAACCAACTAACATTTGGCTCGGCCGCCTGAATGGAGACGACACTAAGGTGTCAGAAGTGCTGAGCGATTTGTCCAGTTCCGGAAGCTTTTGAAGCGAGTTCATGTTGAGCAGGCCCGGTAGCACCGCGCCGCAACCACCCGCAGTTGTGCTTTCCAACAGCAATTTGCGGTGGTGCATACAACTGTTCCTGAACACGCACAACACACACACAAACAGGACGATGTACAAGAGTTAAGTGCATTTAGATTATGTATATAATATTAAGTAGGACTTAAAGGTACGTAACTCAAAACCTCTTATAGAGCTAAAGAACCCTCCACCCCTCCCCAAACACCCACTCCTTAGTCTTAAAATCGTTTGTAAGCATAAATTACACACATTATCGTATACGCTGCACAGCGCGGAATTAATATATCGAGATAATCCATCACAATACAAATATAATATTGTAAATCTGATTCAAATTAATACTTTTACATTTTTTTTTAAACATTTTTACAATTTGGGTATATTGTGCATATGCATCTTATTATCATACAATATTCATAACTCGAAATTTAAATTTTAAACAGATTTATGACATTTGGATAGCGATAAGGTCTATTTTTGAGTAGGTCAGTCAAAAAATAAATCTCATAATGAATACCTACATATAAAAATAAACGAGTCATATTTTTCTATACTCTTCGACGTAATTGCGTGACATACTTTACACATACGTTATATACCTCGGAAAAACTAAGACATAGAACTTACATATTATATGTATTATGTATAGGTATACATTTTAACTGTTATAATGCAGTCAAAGCTCGTCAATTTATGTTTATACATATTTTTTTTTTAACAAACATACGCAGACAAAATATAATAATATATAAATATATATAATACCTAACAAAGTATTAACGACTATCATGACTAAACATATCTTGTATATTATATTTTATTAAAATCAACAACATCCGTGATGCGCAGGGAAGGAATTGAGCGATTAAATTTAAATTTTACATCGGTTTATTGCTGAACAAAATCAGAGATCACGGGAGAAAAAAATGTAAAAACCTCCCGATTTATGGTACAATTTCTTAACATATTTTCTTCTCTAACCAATATATTATTACCTAAAAAATATTCGACTTTATAGGCAATATATTTTGTGCTTTTTAGATACTTTTTTAAACGATAACTACTATTTTTTTCTTCTGAAATTATTATTATTGTAATTCGCAAAACATTGATTATTGAAACAATTGTTTATTATTTGTGAACATTTAATATTTTAATGTTTAGTTAACACCGTGATGTAATAGTAGCGGCTGCCAGCTATATCTTATAAAATAGTTTTCTATAATACCAACTACGGTCGTCTAAACTCAAGTTTGAATATTAATAATCAACAGTTTTGTATAACCATACTAACCAGGTTATCGTAAGTTGGGTAATCAGAAACATTTCCAGTGTATTTACAAAATCATTAAAATATAGTTCAAGTATGATACATAATATAGTTAAATTTTTAAATAAACACGTTACCAAAAACAAAATCCGTCAGTGCAAAAAATCGAACATCTCAACGCCAGAAACACATATCCCGTGTTACATATTATGTATGGGTGTACATAAAATGTAATTAAAATTATTGCAACAATATAAGAATACATAAACGGAAGTCCACGTGAAAATATATATGCTATAAACAGGTAAGTCCGTACCGACGATGATGAGAGGTAATATACGAAGGTAGTTAAAGTGAAGGCTGAAGCGTGTTATCTCAAGAAAAAGACAGCGGGTGGCGTAGCTCGAGGGTGCCGTGACGGCAGGAGGATCGTTACCTATTAGGGGAATCTGGGGTTGGGGGCAACAGGCCAGGCGACGAATTGGTCCGGGGCGACGGTCCGGACCACGGCGGGAACCGGAACCCTCCGCCGTGCTTGTTGTCCGGTGTCCGGAACGCGTCCTGGTGGGTACACACTTGAGGCGACGCTTGCTGATGTTTGGCCTGCCGGAGCGACCAGAATCTGGACCGGGGGCTGCTCCACAGGGGCGTAGTGGGAGGCTGCTGCGGGTGCTGTTGATGCGGCGGTGACGGTGGCGGCGTGGCCGGAGGCGGCAACAGACTAGGCGACCACACGGGCCAGGACGGCGACCTGATGTAGGTATATCACAATAGTAGATAGGTACATCGCGATTTAGACATTCGAGTAGGTACGTAGTAATTATTAAATACTTATAAACTATATTAGTCATCAGTATTCGAACACAATATATAAGTAATAATGTAATATACTTATTTCCGAACATTACTGTTATGTCTACAATAAACTAGTCATAATATAATATACGATAAGAAAAAAACAGCTCTGCGGCGGTTAGCGGACGGAATTCTACGCAGATTCTATTCCTCCCCATAATATAATATACCTGTATAATTTGAATACTGTCCGAACGGAACGAAAAACGAATGTATCAATTTTTACGAGACCGCGGTTTATAGATAGCGATATAAGTATAGGTGCGTTAGTTTTATACATTTCATTCGGCTGCAAAAATACTTTTTAAATGCACTCATTCAAATAACTAATAAGTGATAACACCGCACCATAACAATATAATACAAACGTATACATAATTCATAGTATACTAACTGAAGTGTACGTGGTATAATAGTAGTACACTAGTACGTATATTATAAATTTATATCGAACAACGCAATAGGTATCCGACCGCTGTACAAGGATATTGAATTATTTTATTCAGCATAATAATTATTATATTACCGGACGTGCCCGCTGTCACCGGAACTGCTGTGTCTCGAATGAGAGTTGTGAGAACTAGAGCCTTTGCTGGTGTTCGATGAGTTACGGGAATGTCCACTCGAACCGGTCAAGTGGTTAGTGGCCGTGGGCGCGGCGGTGTTGTCGTGCACCATCACCATCCCATCGTCTTCTAATTGTTCCGAATGATTTTGATTCGACTCAGACACGGCATCATGTTTCTCTAAACCACTCATGGATGGAATGTCTGCAAACATATGTTTTATATCCGGTATCATAATAATATATCACAGATCAGCTGCGAATACACGGCCCATTCACCGCGGATAACCAACAATAAGCACAAGGTTAGGTTGATATTACTTTATTCGGCAAGACCGCTGAGGTGTATTATGTATTATAAGTTATTACTATACGATAAAATGTGGGTACCTACTCATCATATTGTATTTCAAAGAATAAAAACGTTTGATTTGACGTCCCGTGTGGTTTTTGAAGCGCAGAAAACCGTATATTAAGCAAATTCAATTAAAACAATTTGTGTGGTATCAATTTTTTTTTGTAATTACAAAACACGCTTATTATTGCGTTGAAATTAATTGCTTTTTACATTTGAAAAAATCATTAATATCTACCGCTTTAAAAGGTCAACTCTTAAAATGATATACTAATAACTGTTATCCACATTTTATTGTTTTCATCAAAATGAATAAAATAGTAATTAATAGTTATGTTTTGTCCTCTACAGAAAAAGTTTTCATTTCATAATAATGCTATTAAAGAAAAACAGTCTAAACATTTTTAGAAGATAATTTAATTATACGACATAGTTTCTTATATTATACTTTTAGCGAAAGTCGAAATGCATTTAAAAAAGTAGTTAAATAGAATTCCATTATCATAATGAGATCAGGGATATCTTGGATCACATAATTATTATTGTATAATGTTGGTTAATAATGCGATCTCTTGTTTTCCATGGTATTATTCTAGTCTTTAAGAACCTAGGCAAACCTATTAAACAGCGAAGTGGAACTATAGAGAGACGACCAGGATTTGTATGTATAAAGTAACTAAAATTTATAGGGCATTTTGGAAGTAGGTCAACAAGTCACATTTAACTCTATATATACATCATTTATAAGTATAAATAATATTATTTTCGTACACAAATTAAAAATTCAAAAGTGAAAAAAACACGAAATCGATATTCAACTACCCACGTAATTTAATCGTTGTATAAGAATAACGCATCGTTAGTTGGAGACAAATAAAAATATGTCAAAAAACTCGTAGTATGAAATCAGTTTCCTCCCACTGAGGCATTTCAGATGTACCTATATAATGTCATGCCTCCATTATCATAATATATTGTATTATATATTGTTTCCGTAGTTTAAAAAATAATTCAAATCAACCAAATAACAGCGAAAACTCATTTGAATTACTTTTATAAAAAATATTTATAATGTTATATAAGCGTCTAGACCGATTAGATCTTATAGATTTATAGATACGTATTAGTTTATAGAAGGTTAAAGTCATCAATTGGCGGCCATCTACGTGTATCTGTGTATGCTACATGGTGTATACTTATACCTGATGGAAACAACGATCGTGTATTCGGCAGACTGCCGAATCCGCTGCTCGGGTATTCGGTATCTTCGCGTTGTGGGATATCACCGTTGGTAGTGGGTTTTTGATTTAAGGCGGACGTTGGCCTGCGGAAAATCGAAAATATTTTTCCAATAATAGTCTTGTACAAGATAAATACGTTGGAGACCAAAAACTTGTACTCATTCAATAAATACCCGAGCACTATATAAATGGTAAATTAACTAAGCACTTACAAAATATATAGTGGAATACATACTGTAAACATATAAACTTAAAACGGTAAACGTAATTTCTACTTACACTTTGAACAATATGTCTCCAGCTAACATGTTCATAGACACGGATATCCGGAGCATCGAATTGTCCTGTCGATGGTGCCGGGTGTCGTACCCTTCCAGCAGACAACGCCTCGAACTCAACCCAGCTCCAGCCAATTCAGCCAAATTAACGTCGGTGAAACCGAGTTTTTGGAAGCTGCGACCGCCTTTTAATTCCTGTAAGACACGAGCGATTAAAATCTTTGTTTACTGTCAAAACGATATTTCTGCATCCATGAGTATGTTATACTTTGCGGACAGATATCCGAAGGTTGCACGGGTCCAATATTCCGGTGGACGCGTTGGCGCTCATCTTACAGACGAACTCAAATTTAGCACCCCACCGGACCGTATGATCTCGAACCTCCTCTCTGTAACACATCACACGCACGGGACTCAGTACAAACAAAAATATTGGTACGTATGTATAGTATATATATTATTGTAATTAGGCAGATAATTGACAACGGAAAGAAATATAATGCACACACCATGACTTAAATATATTAGGTAGGTTATTGCATAAAGGCCTACCTATTTTGTTATTAAACAATGTAAAATGGAAGCGTAAGGGTACAGACTACAGACTACGGACTACAGTCCAGATTAAGAATAGTTCGTCCCTTTACGCTGCCATTCCTTAACGTAGTAAAATGGGGGTATTATTGCAATAACCTAATATATTTAAGCCAAGGCACACACAAAAAATCATGTACATTATTATGTATTATTATGCAGTTTTTTTTAATTTTAAGATATTGTAAATTTTAGACATTTGGCAGTTAGACTTTACCACTGCTTTGTAAGACGATAGTGCGAAAACTTTAAAACAGACATTTGGCAAGCGAATTGGATCATTGACTTTGCAGTCATCACTAGAAATGTTTATGCTTTTTAAGACTCTTAAATTTACCTATAAATAATTAACCGACATAAATATACATATCTCTAAATTATTTTTAACGATTATGTTTATATTTATACTAATATTGTATACGTAATACATTCATGTATATATACTATATGTATTTAATAATGTGTTAGTATCGATTATTATAAATTCTCCCAAAAAAATACTATGTAATATACAAATGCATACGGCTCAATACAAGTATAAACATGTGCATGTATTTAGAAAATAACATTTTTTTCCACTATAATTCTATCATTTTAAGTACTATATGTATATGAGGCAAAAAACCAAGAAACTAAAAAGGTGTTTATAATATTATGTACTTATCGTACTCATAAATTATGAAAAATAAGCGCATCTATATTATATAATTTAGCTTAATAATATACTTAGCTATCTGCTATTTTTCTTTTTAGTTACAAGTCCATCACTATATTACGGCACTACACACGCCTTATATTATATCATATAGCATCTACTATAAATACACGCATCTTTCCTCCAAATCAGTCACTTGAAACGTGTTTGACAGAACACTACCATATACTTTCCTGCACTCGGCAGACATTCCGCAAAACTGTACACGGGTACTGGGTAGACACATGTTTCTCGTTTGTTGGCTCCTAGGCAGCACATGCGTATATTTACGTGTTCTACCTATATACGTGCAATACACTTTAGTTGAGGAGACGATGAAAGGAATTTAGCGCCAACAAAATTGGCTACCGTTTGCCGAGAAAAAACTGTTTACTAAGGAAGGATTTCGACGGTTTGGACGGTTTCCAGATACTTTTTTTTTTCAATGCATCAAATTTAAACGACAGCTCATTCTTACACTATATGGACCATTATTATAACATAATAAGTACATAGATTTAAATATAATAACGGAAAAATCGATAAAATAGATTGAGTATATTCAATATTGATCGTATGCACTATACGACCGAGAATTTTAAGAAATAGCATTTATAGGTAGGTACTTAGAAATTTGTCAGGAATGTCTCTACGATAAACTTAATCGACATAATAATACGCACTATTTTTGGTTATCGGATTTTGTTTTACAACGGTATCAATTCAAATTTTCTGCAATAAATATTTAAAATAAGTTGGAAGACAAAACAATATCGATAGGTGACAAACGAAACAATAACAAAACGCATAAGTTTTCATTTGAAAATCGACTGCAATTTCTAATTAGATTAACTAAAGAGAATATATATTATAATATTAGGATACACTTGTTCGATGTTCTTTGGGACAAACAGTTATCGAACGGAAACCCAACTGACAACGCAAATACCTACGTAATAATAATAATTAGAGACATGTTTAAAATGTTCCACTTGAAAACAATCACCTAACAAATTTCATTTTCCAGAAAACAAGACTACTTTAAGAGATGATCAAATTATTGGTATTATTAGTGACAAATGTTAATAATAATAAAAAGATGGATAAGTTGCACTCCAAAGTTTTGTACTAAAAAATATAGTTAATTTAATAACGAAACAGAAAACATAAATTTCGTCTTCCACGTACACTTGGGTTTTAAACGAGCGTAAGTGCAGTAAAGCAACGACAAAGATTTTCAAACTTCTAGGCAAACTTTCTTTAAACGACATAAACTGTTTAGTTTGATTAATATTTTTTTAAATATTTATCATTAATGATCCATCAATGTTTTGTTAATGATATAAATTATTGTTCATTATACTGCCAGCGTATAATATAGTACGGACCTCGGTCTTAGAAGATAAGGTCAGGACACTTTCCTATTTAACAACGTTAATCAATTCGGTCACTTAGAGAGGATATTTTAGTTGAGTTTCTTGCCGCTATTTTATCGGGCGCCTCGATCTGAACTTTATTAAGGTTATGTATAAAATTTAAAATATTTTAGCGGCAAACGAAAATTAAAATTAAAATATTACAATAAATTATTATTATCGTAATTCAAATTAGAAAACAGAAATATCATGTACAGAGTAATTCACCAAGCATGCTCACCCCAATTTTTCATTTAATAATGAAATCAAAAACTACCCGTAAGAATTTTGATACTGATAGGTACTTCAAAAAAAAAAATTCCGAAAAATGATATACTGTATAATTTACAGTTGAAAAGGGGATATTCTCAATTGAAAAATAGAAGTTTCTATCTCTACAGAACACTCTTTAAGTAGTAAGTACAAGATATTTCAAGAATTTAAAAATATGGTTTTAAAGTGTATTCAAAAAATCAAATTTTGAATAACTGCATTATTGAAGAAAAAAATTGCGAATTTGTGGATGTAGTTGAACATGACTATGCTAAAGCAGAAATTGTTGATTGTTTAATATATTATTTAACAGGTAAGTAACATAATATAAAAATACCACCATCGAGTATATTATAAATTATTTGTGAGGATAAATAGTAAGAATTTTTTTTAAAAATATTTTTGTTTATTAGCTTTCTACAATAGGTAGTTTTGGTATAATAAGTACCTACTTCAATAATTAAGAAAACTATTGATTTATTATACATAAAATAATAACATACCAACTTAAAAATATTATATACATCAAACATTAATACATTTTTTTACAAATAGTATTAGTATTACACTACTATACTCACTGTTTGCATTGGTTAAATTTCAACTAAATCTATGATTCAAATGATATTTCAGGTTATTTATGTAAACAATTGATGTATTATACAGAAGACTGTCAAGTTTATAAGACATAATTTATATATCATCAAGGACATTCACAGTAAATTCAAGCAGCTTTAGTTAATCTGAAAACCCTCGGACGATTAATACAAATATAACTTTCTACTATTTAATCAAAAATATTAAATAAAAATTTGAAAAATATTGTAATTCACCTTATGTTTTTGACTTGATTTTAGAAGAGATATTGAGTGAACATAAATAAAGTTTCCTATGTGCTACACATGCCAGTTATAATTTCTTTTTTAGTTATATATACGTATGAGTATGAGACAGTTTCCCCGACAATTAAATCATAAAATTAAAAAATTGAATCGCAATAAAAAAAAATTGCAGTTATATTCTAAATAGGTAGTACATAGACGGTAGGTGCCCAACTTAAACTGTAAATATGTCTGTAAATACTAAAATTATAAAATATATAATATGGTTAATTATTAAAGTAAATCATTATCATCAATTTATTCATTTATTTACTAACTTACTTTTAATTAGTTATTAATTGGTGACGGTGTCTTGGTAACCAGATTTTGGTTTTTTAATTTTTAACAATTTTGCCAACCAGCAATCATTCCACTACTCAATGAGTGATGGTAAGAAGTTGGTAAATAGTAAAATTCAGAAAGTTGGAAGAGAGGCGCTACGAAAATAGCGGATTAAATAAGTAGGTACTAAAATGTCCTCTGTAAGCAGACACAATGATGAGTAAAGAGTCCTGACCTTATCTTCTAAGACCGTGGTACGGACGCAATGTTACCACCCCCGTTAATATAATACAACACACTAACTTGTCATAATAATAAATGATTTTACGATTTCGGTTTCGAGCAAATGCGTCGACGGCAAGGAGAGTAGCATATTATATCATATATATAATATATATAATATACTCTCGTATATAACTATATGTTTATTATTATACAGTATTGTAGCAGTGTTAAATGACAACCGTCGTGTAAATCTTTATTGCTACAGTATTTTTACATTTAATCAATAATACCTACATTATTATCTCGTTATAAATGGGTAAACCTATAATCTAAACATAATTGAACACACGCGGATATAAATCAAATTACGAATCCTTACAATGAAAATCAGTATAAACATTTAACAATAGTACAGCATTATTATCGTGTTATTGGAAAAAATCACTATGGCGATTTCGTCTGTTATTACTTATTAGTAATATCCATGACATTATTATAATGATAACGTTTTGTGTCCGGCCCTTCGGAGTAGGTTTATTATATTGAACGAAATCTAATTTTTGTTTGTACAGATTTTTTTCCCCCCAAGCGTTACAAATGTATTAGTTCTAGTTAGGTTACAGGCGTGTAGGCTACGCGCCGTATCAGCAAACGTAAGTTTATGCCACAATAAAAGTAGTAGTATTATATTGTAGTACCTACAAGTACATAGTAAATATAGAAGTAAGCAGTGGTATTCTACACCTAATTATGCATCGTGGTCAATGCCATTTTTACAAATTATATTATTATATATTAATTTTTTTTTTCGTCTGATATATAAAAACGAAACCAACCTACCAAACCATCACCAAGGACAATTGAAATGATTACTGTGTTAAGCGTGGTATTGTTTCAACTAAAGTGTTAAACTATAATATATGCTATAATGCTATATACTACACAACCATCACTGCAGATGTACGATCTGAATAAAACATTAGAGTAAAAGGATTATGTTATCCGATGCCTACGTGAAAGCAGCA